ACATTTGACAGATGTGTGATCCCCATCCAACACGGCTTCTGCCCGTTCCCAGCCTCGCTACATGCTGCCCTGCCGGCTCCCCGCAGCAGACCTCCGCTGGGGCACAGGCTCATGAAACTGGTGGTGTCCATCATCATCCGTATGGCTGTCCTAGAAACTCCGGCTCTGCTGCCAGGCCACACTGAGGGCGCGATGCTGGAGGGACGCAGGGGACACGCAGGCAAGATGCTGGCACAGACACCCAACCAGCTGGCCTGCATCCCAACAACGCCCCCACGGACGCCTGCCATGTGGGAAAGCCGGTGTGACCTCTGAGGGGCCATCACACCTGCTTCTCCCAATGAAGACCCGCTTCTCACCAACTCTGTGAGACAGAGGACAGACTCCTCCCCAAGTGGGTCCACCTTCAGTACCTCTGAGGCGGCAAGACATCCCTCACCTTTCTGCAGGAAACCCACAGACCGTGACCCGGCCCAGCCTGCCCCACACGGCTCTGCTCACCTCCCTTCTCCCGGTGTCCTGCCCCCGGGACAGCAGGAACGGGCGGAGGGTCTGTGAGCTGAGCCTGGCAAACAGGCCTCAAGGGCAAGACCTCGTCAGAGCAGAGAGCTCTCGGGGTCACCAAAGGCTTCGTTGGTCCACTCAATGCTACCCCTTGGCATTTCAAAGATTTTCATTAATGCTACAAGAATTACTGACCACACAGATTGAGACCCTGGACCAGCATATTTTCAGCTCGTCCCACCCAGCAAGAGGAGCTGTCCTCCCACGTCAGGCTGTGCTCCAGGTCGGGGGTGGGGGTGTGGGGGCGGAGGTAACACGGGGAGGAGAACAGACAGCAGGTGCCCCGCAGGACACGGGGGCGGTGGCGTGGCTAGGACCACTCAGGGCACAAAGCTTAGCGGATGCACCTGCGCCCGGGGCCCAGCCCACAGCCCAGAGAAAACACTCTTCCTTCATCCTCACTAGCTTATATAGAACTCAAGGGAAAGGCCCTCTCCAATACAAAAAAAAAAAAAAAAAAAAAAAAAAAAGGCAGCTTCATTACAATCATAAGGAGAGCAGTAACAGTCTGGAGATGAAAGCGGCCGGCGGCCAGGCACTATCTGCGGGCCCATCTTCCGTCCTCTCCACGCCGCCCGCCCACGCCCCAGCAAAATCCAGCCTCCCCAGGAGGTAAAGATCTCTCTCAGGCACATTCTCCTCCTGCGTATTTCCCTTTGACAGCATTTTTGCCGTTCTCAAAGAAACATCTGAGAAAGACAACAAACAGCCTGCCTGACTCTGGTCCACCGGAGGCCCAAACCCGAGGGGCTCGAGCGGCCGCTGGGCCGCAGCACCAGCACTGGGCAAACCCGGAGGAAAGTGGCCGCCTGCACGCTCTCCCCACCTGTCTGGAGCTGGGGCTGCTGCTCTAACGAGGCGGGCCACTAGGAAAGCCGTCTGGCCATACTCCGCGGCGGTCACGAGGCCGGCTGTCCTCCCAGCTGGGTTCTGGGACACCCTGTGCTGCCTGAGGGCCCTGGCTGGGTGACCCCGCGCAGCCCCAGGTGCTGGAGCCCGGGTTCAAGGAGAGGGTGCCGGGGCGGCCGGCGGCTGCGGTCTATCAGTGCTCCCATCCTAGCGGAGCTGAATCACATCACGGAACTCAGTAAGACCACGACCCTGAGGCAGGGGACTTTGGAAGGGCCCCTCCCAGAAGGGCTCCATTGGGGGGGGGGTCTGGACACCCCCTCCTCCGGGCTGCCTGGGGGACAGCGGCTGCTTTCTCCTAAGTCAAGGGAGACACACACTATGTTCCCACAAACACAATATAGAAACGGGACTTCCTGCTCTAAAAGGAAAATGGTCTTTTCTCCTCCTTCACACCTGACTCAGTTTTGTGCTAAGCAAGGTGATTGTGCTTTTCCCCCAAGTTATTCAAACGCTGACACTGGCTCTGCCCACCCTCTAGATAAAACAGTAGTTTAAAAAAAAAAAAAGTTGAAATACATTCTTGCCAGGTTCTTTTTGTCTTTTCACATAAACCTTATCTTCCCTTGCTTCTCGGGCTCAGCTGAAAACAGAGCAGAGGAAGCTGGGGTGCAGCCGTGGTGACTGCCGTCCCCCCACACCCCCAGCTGCTGGTCCTCCTCCTGGGGGAGCAGGGGAGGACAGCGGAGGGGGATTCCAGAGGCAGGTCCCCCGGGCAATGCCGCCTCCGGGCAGTGCCACCTCCAGGGAGTGCACGGAGGCCTGTCTCCAAGCCCCTCCTTCCTCTGCTTCTCTCCTCCTGAGTCCTGGGAGCCGAAGGGGGACTTCAACCCGAGCACCAGCTCCTGGATTCGGTGAGGGCCGAGGCTTGCCCTTCACATTTAGCAAAATGCCACTGAGGAACTATTTCAATTCCGCTTCAAACCACCAGGCCCTGAGATACTACGCAAGCCCTGTGCGGGGAAGCGGGCCTCAGGCCTGGAAAGATGGAACGGAGAAGGCAGACGGCTCTGAGAGCAGGGGCTGGAACGCGGAGCTGCAGGACAGGCCAGCAGGTGCCCGGGGAGTCTGGAAATCTGTCCCGCCTGACACTGGCTGCACGGGTGGCCGGCAGCCCGTCCACCCAAGTGACCAGCACAACGGTGACCTGCCTTCTCTGGGGGTTCCCAGTGGACTCCAGCCCCTCAGTCACTGGGGAAAGGCACAAGTGGCAGAAGCAGCAACCCGGTTTGGGGAAGTGACGCACCTTCCGCAGGGCCCCAGCACCTGAGACGAGCCGGCCTGGCTTCGTCAGTCCCCCGCCGGGGGGGAGCCACGCAGCCACTACCCGGGGAAGAAGTAGTCTCTGTTGCTGACGTTGTAAGGGCTCTGTGGGCCCCTGGCATCCGGTCGGCTGTGCCTCGAGGCGCTGTCGGACCCAGGGCTGCTGGGGGACACTGGTGGGGAGATGAGGGGCACCAGCCCCGGGGTGGGCTTGGGCCTCTCGGGGACCAGCTGTCCCAGCGAGTGTGGCGGGCACCCGCTCGCCTTGCCGTCCTTCAGCGCGCGCAGCCTCCACGTCTTCCTGAACCTTCGCAGGGACAAAGACAAACCACACAGGTGCTTAGATCCCCTCGTGATGAGCCAAGTGAGAAAGAGCAGCTCTTGGCTCAGAAGAGGGACACCACTCATTTCCTCGCAGAGGCACGCGACTCTCTGAAGAGCCGGGGCTCTCAGCGACACTCCGGGGACAGCAGGCATCGATGGTCCCGTTGACAAATGAGGAAACCGCGGCCTATGTGACCACAAGTGTCCCTTACAGCACTAGTGACTTAACTGGTCCCGTTCCAGAGCTTGGTACACATCCATGGTCCCAAATGCATTTACTTACAGAAGCAGAGAGAACTCTTCCCACGTGGAGGGAGAACGGGCCCCTCGCCTCTGGGGCAGGCGAAGGCGGGTGGGGGCAGGGAACGCGCAGCGGGCCAGGGCCGCCCCCGCTCCCTCAGCAGCCCTGCCCCTCGGGCAGGTCCTCCCGGGCCCTGCTGTGAGCACAGCACAGGCACAAGTGACTCATGGGGCAGGAAAGGGGACGCCGAACAGGAAGGAGATAGACATCTCTGCCATCACAGCTTCCCTCCTCAGCTCTGCACCCGGCCCACGGCCAGCGCTCAGGAACCCAGCAGCAGTCCCCGGCAGAGCCGAGCATGAGCTGGACACAGCCGCTTCCAGAGTTGCACCAGGGCCCCTTCCCGAGGCCCCCGGACCTCGTCGCCTGCTCTGCACGGTCCCCCACCAACCCCAGAGCAGGGCCACACATCTCCCTCAGTCCCACCTCACATCAGCCGCTCCGGGAAGGGCTTGGAGGGAGGAGGGAAACCAAGGTCAAAAACAAGGTTCGGGGGTTTTCCTTGGGCTTTTTATATCAACAGGCTATTCCTGTCCCGGTGACGATAAACCATTGATAGTTGGCTCCAAGTCGGCCCCTGGCATCCGGCCTGGGATTGGATGGAATAAACAATGTGCGGAGTGTGGCTGCGGCTCCCCGCTCGGGCACCAGCACCCCTGTAGCAGGGGCTCTGCGGCCGCCAGGCCTGGGTGGGGGGACTGCCCTCCCTCGGGACATGCAAGCTTCCAGAGCACTCAGACCCTCCGACCCAGGAGCTCAGCTTCCGGGGACACACCAGGAGGAAAGCAAAGCCTGACACACGAGGCCATTCCACACCGTGTTGTCTGTGAGAGCGAGCCCCCCCGCCCCCGGCCCAGAGCGGCCAGGGCACGCCTGAGTGAGGGGCTGGGCATGCTCACGTGGCGTCCTGCATTGAGGTAAGCCAGCTTTTACAGAGGAAATGTGTTTCTGTTCTAGCTGATGCTAAAGGTAAAAGGCAGGACTCGGGTGTGGAAGCCATGTCCTCACAGGGACGTGGAAACCCCAGGAGAGCTGTGCAGCAAGCTGGCCTCCACATGAACTCGTCTCCTCCGGGCACACGGGCAAGGCTGTGCACACCTCCAGCACGCTCAGGAGATGCACACTCGGGACCTGAGCTTCCTGGGTGTGTGCTGGACTTTGGTCACATTCACGTTTTTAAAAATCAACAATGGCTGTCTTTGGATAACATGTGAGTTTTTCTTCTTTCCAGTTGTCACTATGTAGCACATGAGCACGTATCACAATTTCTTTTAAAGTCTCTAGCGGTGTCCAACCTCTTTCTCCAAAGCAAGGGACTGGATGGTAAGTGAGAAAGAGGAGTTTTTCTGCTCTTGAAATGCTCCGAGTGAACAAGACGCTTTCTAAAAATCACTGAGCTCAATGCGCCTTCGGGGGAGCCCGGCTGGGGCATCTGGCGCGATGCTGTTCTGGCCGGGCGCGGGGGCATCCGGGGGTCCAGGACCCGCGGCCAGGCCCCAAGCTCCTCAGCCGGTGTCTTCTGTCGGCCTTACCCATCTGTGCCTCGTGATGTTTTACTTAAAGAAAAGGGCTGCAAATGCAACAACATTTTATAAACCACATGACGACCGTCGTCTTTTAAACAAGTGACACGGAGAGACTGAGCCCTCATGAGAAGTGACTCGGGGAGCACTCGCAGACACAGCCACTCCCGTTGCCGGCCACCAGAGCGCCCTATGTTTTCAGTAGTGGCTTCGACTACTGGACCAAGACACACAATTGGGTCACAAGGATTTAAGCAGCCACGACTTAGAACCCCTGCTCCCAAAGACGCCACACCTGTTTTCAGTGGCACATCTGCAAGTGTTCTAATTGTCACTGATAATGCTGAGAAAACATTTAGGAGAAGCTATGCTTTGAGATGCAAAATAAACACGTTGCACAGAAAAACACGGCCCCAGGGGTGGGCGGGTTGTGGTCAGCCGGCCTGTCGCCTTCCGCCAGTTGTAACGGGGCCATCCCAGCGGCACCGCAACTCTTCCAAATACCCAGTTTCCCCAAGTTTATGCACCTTTCTTGACATGTGGGCTTTGGGGAGGGGTGAGGTTTACACACTTGAAATAACTGGCCTGGTCCCCAGTGCATCTGCCGAACACGAGAGAAAACAGAAACTCACCGGCGAGCAGACAAGTCCCTGATGCGACAACACAAGGCACAGCCCGTTCACGCTCCCAGACGCTGGCCATGAAGCCCCCAGCCCGCCGCCCACGGCTGAGCACACCGTGTCTGAGGAGTGGGCCAGTCGGTCCCCAGCCCCACGCTCCGCCATCGGGGCTCCAGCACTCCGCGACAGCGCCCACCTCCCAGCCGACAGTGGACCAGCCTAGTGGGCAGGGACTCTCGGGACTCAGGGTCTAGTCCTGGCTCTGCTGGCAACAAGCTTGTGTCCTTGGGCAAGTCACCTCACCTCTTTGTTAGTCATCTCGTGTCCCCCTGACTAACAGACCCGGGAGGCCCCGTGCAAAGAGCTTCGGGCTGGGGTTGGCTTTCTCAGCCCCAGCAGTCAGCTCCCCAACCCTCCCAGCTCCCGTCTCCTCATCCACCAGGCGGACACGCTGTCAGGCACTCTGGAGGGTCTGTGGCAGGTCCCCCAGAAGGCAGGAAGAAGGACGCAGCCCGCTGGCATGGCCGTCTCTGGCCCGCACGAGATGGTGAGCTCTGAGCACCCCCACGGGCCAACCTCCACATGTGTGGGGTCTTATCTCCCACACACGCTCTGGGTGGCTCCCCTCTTCCCTGGGACAGCAGAGCAGACACAGCCGAACCCAGTGTGAGATGTCACCTTACTCACCTTCCAACCCAGACCACCTTGGCACCAAAGCTGGTTCAGAGTCTCTGGGGGGGTCCCACAAGTGAGGAAACGTCTCTACCCCTTCCTCCCGGACACCCTAAAACCTCCCCTCACAGTCGCCGGCAAGAACCTCAGAAAGCCGCACGCGAGGCAAGAGGGACAGACCGAGGCTGTGTCCTGACCGAGAGCCACCCTCTGCGCCCGGCCCGACGGCCCCCGGGTCTTCAGCTCGGGCACCATCGCAAGGCCCTGCCCTACAGTCGTGAACACTGCACGTTTTCTCACCCGCCCTACAGGAGGAGTAGGGCCGGCGGATGTGTCCGCAAGCCTGGGAACAGTGACAAAATGACCAGCCACCAGAGACAAAGAGACACAGAGCAACGTGGGCATGGCACCAGTTCACCGGCACCGGAGGATGCTCCTGGACAGAGCACTGGGCAGGGGGCCTCCGGCTCTGCTTGTTCTGGGACATGGAACATCTCCAACAGGGTCTGGCCACGCCCCTCGGACCTGCCTGTTCACAGACTTCCGTGGTGTTTCTCACGTGGCCCACAACCACATCGGTATGTGGCTCTTGGAGGACAGGCAAGGTCACATGACACAGCAGCCCCAAGCCTGAGGGGCGTCTCCCAAGTGTGGCGAATGCCGCCCCCTCCGCTTCAGCAAACAGGCTTCCCGGTCCCTCCGCGTCCACACAAGTTTTCAACCTCCGAATGCCACAGGGACCATCACAGCCTCGTCCACATCCGCCCACACGCGGGCAGTGATCCCCGCTGTCTCCCAAACATGTCCGCCCGGGCTTCTCACAGGCACCGCAAATGCCGTGCTCCCAAAGTCGAGTCTCTGCTGTGCTCGACTGTCCCCTGCCAGCGTCTCCGCGAGAGTGACAATACGGCCGTCCACCCAACCGCCAAGGCTGGAGACCCGAGGGTCACCCTAGATGTGCCCCCTTCCTTCTCCTCATCTAACGTGTCATCCAATCTCGTCAGTTCCTCCCGATATACCCCGAATCAGCCAAGTGAGGTGGTGGCCCCCCAGGCCTCCCCCAGCCCCGCTCACCTCAGCACGACGCCGACGCACAGGAGCGTCCCGAAGGCCAGGCTTCCTCCGGCCACCAGGAAGGTGGGCAGCGGCCCTGAAGGCGAGTCTTGCACTAGGAGAAACAGGAGCAGGAAGGGGGAGGGATGCTGGTCAGCGGAACGGTCTGGAGCCCCGGAGGAACCGCAGCCCCGCAGGAGGGGACGGCGCTGGCCAGCGCTCCCACCCGAGCCGACCCGGGAAGACAGGTCCCTGGTGGAATGGGACCCCAGGATTCCACCCACCAGAGCTGGTAGGAGGAGGAGGGGCACCTCAAACTCAGAGCCTCCGAGCTCCTGTGGCCACAGACCCCCTCCCAGTCAGCATGACCTTTCTAGTGGGGCTCGGCCTGTCCCCGCTCAGCCTGTCCCCACGAAGCACAGGGGGCGCAGGACACCGAAGGCTCTGGGTGCCCCACTGAGGACAACATCAGGAGCTCAGGTCAGATGACGTTTTCTCCACTGGGTGTCATGTCTCATCTGTCCCTCCACTCAGTCCTCAAGCAGTGCAGAACCCAGTGTGGGGCTTGAACTCACGACCCTGAGATCAAGACCTGAGCTACGACCAAGGGTCGAGTGTTCAACCGACAGAGCTCCCCAGGGGCCCCCCTGGACCTTACATTCTAATCAAGGGAAAGACAAATCTGTACTATGACCTCAGTAGTGACAGGGCAATGATGAAAATCAGAGGAAGAACAGGGATAACTGGGACAGGCCCCCTGACAAGGGACATCTGAGCAGAGACCTGGGTGTTGTGAAGCAACTGGCCACGGGAGGCAGTATGTGCAAAGGCCCTGAGGTAGGGCATGTGCTGCAGAGCAAGGAGGGCAGAGTGAGCGAGAGGGAGAGTGGAGGAGGCAAGGTTAAGGGGGCGGTCCTGAGCCCACAGAGACCAGAGCTTGGACATGTGATTTCAGGGTCCCCCTGGCCGCTGGTCACAAGAGTCTGTTGGGCATTAATAGAGAAAGCCGGGAGACCAGCGGACAGCTTCTAAGTCCCTCGGGGGAGGGGAGAGGCAGTGGCAGCAGCACGGTGGAGAGGGTGAGAAGGGCAACTCCCAGAAGTGTCTCCGGGTACAACGGGGCCTGCTAAGGGACTAGAAACGGGCGGGGGTGGAAGAGGAAGCCTGCCTGGTCCCCGGCTTGAGCAACCCCATGAACGTGCTGCCAGTCACCAAGATGAGGAAGACAGAGAACACGTCCAGGCTGGCAAGGAGAGGTGGCTTCAAGGGTCCGCTTCAGACCTAAGCTTGTAATTTCTAGAATCACAACCCTCCCTAGCAGGTTACCCAGGCCACTGGATAGTTGAGTTTCGGTTATCAGATGTGGGATCTGAGTTTGGGAGTCATCAGCCCACAGATGGCCTTTCCTTTTACAGATCCGGCTGGAGAAGCCCGTCCCCCAAGGGCCCCATCCCCACTGGAGCCCCGGAGCCCCACCCTGCCTCCCCACTCCCCCCACCATCACTCAAGGCCGGGAACCTTCTGCGATTCCCCCAACTGGACACGCCCTCTGCTATCTCTCAGCTGCCCTTTGATTTATCTCCACCTCTGTTTTGGCCTGTCTCCCAGGCTGCCCTCTGTTCTGCTTACACCATCCTCTTTGTCTGAGCCTGACCCCACAGAGCAGAGCCCCAGAGAGAAGGGGGGAGGGTGCAGACCTCCGCCAGGCAGCCTACATGGGAGCAGAGGTCAAGGATGGCCTCAGAAAGCCCAGAGCTGGCAGAACTGCCCCCCGGAGCCCGGACCCTGGAGTCCCGCATGAATGGCAGACCCCGGGCTCTTCTTGGTGCAAATGTTGGTAAGCTTTCCTGGTCTTGCAGGCAACAAAGCAGATCTCTGGGGTCAAGGGCACCCAAAATAAAGGCTTCCCCCAACATGTATTCCATTCCAGACTCCGATAACATGGTTTGTGGCACAGGCATTTGTATTCTGGGCCAACTGAGGCACATTTCACTGGTCTGTGCCCTTCTGTTAATGGTTCCCTCACCATCGTTCAGCAAACGATGTCAGACTTGCACAGACATGGCAATAAAAGAACACTTCTGCCACTGCCCCCTTCCTTCTGCAGACTGGCTTCCAGCAACATTTCCAAGTCAGAAAGGACTTTCTGCAGAGAAGCGTTTTGTGCCCCTCAGACAGAAGAAGAAACACCCAGTCCTCACCTGGGAGGCTGGTTGCATTTGCAGAATTTTCAGAGAGATTACTTCCACTGTCCTCGCTGGTGGTCAGTGCCTGAAAGACAGATTCCCCGTCAGCTGGTTTCTGCAGATCCCACCATCCCTGGCACCCCTCCAAGCCCACCTTTCCTCTGTCTCAGGACCTCTCTGTACTGACCTGTCACACTCAGCATCTGCACTAGTATTTGCATTAGTTGTATCTACATGTTGACTGCTCAAGGTGGGACTTCTTCCCATCTGCCTCCCCACCAAGAGCCGGGGGCGCAGCCCCTTCCCCAGAAGAGTTCCCCAGAAGGCGAACGCAGCACTGTCCCAGGGAGTACGTGCCACCATCCCCCGGGAAAACCACAGACTAAGATCCTGGACCCATGCTCACTAGCTCTGCATCCTTGGACAGATTTCGGAACCGCTGTGGGGGTCCCGTTCCTCTTTTCCAGGCACAGCCCTCCTGGCCCTGAACCCCGTTACCAGCTGGAACAAGACTCCAGGTGCACGCCCAGAGCAGAGCACAGCTGGCAGACCCTCTGCAGGAGTCCGTGCCCACACCCCAGCTTGGCTGGGAGCATTGGGCCGCACTGCACAGGCTTCCCCGGGAGCTTCTGCCAGGGCCCGGACAGCCCGGTGGTCAGTACGGGTACAGCGCCAGGCCCTGCGCCCCCTCCCAGGGCCACCTTGCTGCAGGAGGCGCTGAACCTCACAGCTCAGCTGGCCCTTCGGGGACTGAGGACCCCAGGAGGACACGCAGCTGGAAACAGGATTACCCGAGGATTTGCTAAGCAGCTTCAGAGGTAATCATCTTTCCAGAAAATTATGATGCCAGGAGCCCACAGAGGAAGGGCTCAGAGGGACTGAATCTGAGTCGCCAGTGAGGCCATCAGCAGCGTCCGCCAGTTCGGAGGTGAGACAGCAGCCATGAGACCCAGGGACTTTGTGAGCTGGGCCAGCACTCCGCACATGTCACAAGGGCCACAGCAGATCTGGGACGCCCCTACCCTGTTTTACAGAGGCTTGAGGACGACAGTAACACCCATGCCACATTTCCAGTTAAGTGCCGGAGCTGGGATTTGAACCGACTCCTGTCCGGTGCCAGCCCACAACTGTTCCCCAGGTTCTGCTGCCCTGACACCCCACGAGGACTCGAGCTCACCTGTGTGGAGGAGGACGCCTCACTCTCAGCTGGAGGGCTCCTGGGTTCTGTGGAGGAAGATGTGTTACGAATGATCCATGGACCCTGAAGCCCCATCAGATGGGCCCCAGGAGCAGAGAAAGTTCATTGCCACGTTACTTAAGAGAGCCTGATGTTAGAAATGAGCAAATCGTCAACCCCAAGGGATTCGCTGTATAAATGAGGATATACCCAGATGTGGCAATGGTCTCTAAAAATAAATCAGAAAAGGGGCACCTGGGGGCTCACTTGGTTGAGTGTCCCACTCTGTTTCGGCTGAGGTCACGATCTCGGGGTCATGAGATCGAGCCCCACATCGGGCTCTGCACTCAGTGTGGAACGTGCTGAAGATTCCCTCTTCCCCTCCCCCCTCCTCCTGGTCACATTCTCTCTCGATCTCTCTCAAATAAATAAATAAATAAAATCTTTAAAATAAATAAATAAATGAAGTAGAAAAACATTGAGGATATAATGTATAAAAAAATGCAAGACTGGGGCACGTGGGAGGTTCAGTGGGTTAAGTCTCTGCCTTTGGCTCAGGTCGTGATCTCAGGGTCCTGGGATCAAGCCCCGTATCGGGCTCCCTGCTCAGCAGGGAGCCTCCTGCCCTCTCTCTCTGCCTCTGCTCTGCCTACTTGTGATCTGTGTGTGTCAAATAAATAAATAAAATCTTTGAAAAAAAAAAAAGGCAAGACATGGAAAGGCTCATGTGGTCTGATCCAAAGTCCCTAAAGAAACGTATTTATAGGGGCACCTGGGTGGCTCCGTGGGTTGAAGCCTCTGCCTTCCGCTCGGGTCGTGATCCCAGAGTCCTGGGATCGAGGCCCGCATCAGGCTCTCTGCTCAGTGGGGAGCCTGCTTCCTCCTCTCTCTCTCTGCCTGCCTCTCTGCCTGCTTGTGATCTCTGTCTGTCAAATAAATAAATAAAATCTAAAAAAAGAAAAGAAAGAAATGTATTTATATCATTATTATTGTGCATTATATTATACCCCATAACACATATTCACACACAGGAGGAAAGAAACACAAGGCCACATCACCAGACAGAAGCACTATTAACATCTGAACGTTCTCCCACTCATCTTTTTGCAATAAAAAACATCTGAACAAGTTCTCATGTGCCTGGGTGGGTTTGGGAGGCTTGGCCCAAGAAGGGACGTGGATCGGGCACACACATGAAGCCCCCCTCCTGGGAGCAGGATTTCTGCAGAAACCGCCCCCCCGCCCCGCAAGCATCAAGAGGTCAAGCATGGAATCAGGAGCAGGAATGCGAGGCCGGGCTCCGCGGCAAACGTGGGCCCAGGGGACTCGGAGCTGAGCTGTGACAGGCAAAGGGTGGAATGCTCTGGATTTTAAAGTATTTTCTTTTCAGTCCATCATGTTTCCATCTAGAAGTTAAAACCACCACAGAAATGGTTCACACAAAGATGTGGAGCCTCCCTGAGGCGGGAGTGGAATGAGGGACAGAGGAGAAGTGCTCCTACTTCTGCTCAGCGGAGAATTTCCGGCAGGACAGGCCTGTCCCCAGGAGGGGAGGAAACCAGAGCATGTTCACCCCTGCACTGTACAGAGGAAACAGAGTCCCAAAGAGGGAAAGCAACATGTCCAAGATCACACAGCAAGCCAGCCCCAAACCAGCCTGGGGTAACTGGGAAGGGTCCAGTCTGATTCCCGGGTGCTCCTCCCGAGCCGAGAACGGGCAGACCCACAGCAGGGGTGACTGGAGGAGGAGCAGAGGGTACGGGCACCAATAACAGCGAAGACTGGGAGTTGGGGCAGCCCTACTCAGGGAATACAGCTGATCGCAGATGGCCACTGGATCCAGGGCCTCCCACACTCAGCCACATGCAGCATCATCTGTGGCCTCAGGGGCTCCAACCTTGCCCTATGGCCTCCAAATCTGGGGGATGGGACCCAGACATCGGGGCTCCTAACAGCTCTCCAAACCCAGAGAGACGCTTCAGTCAGAAAGGGTGACCCATCTAGTCTCTCCCCGCGGTTCTGACGCCCAGCGTGGCACGTGACCCAGAGTAGGGTGCTTAACTTTTGATGGCTTAGATTTCCGGGTACAATGTGGAAATTTTATCTCAACCCAGAACAAGTACAATTTTTCTAATGAATATCAGAATTAAGTCTTACTGACAAGACTTGTTAAAGACCCCCCAGATGGCCACGGAGCCCCCGATACAGACCATCTTGTCCCCAAACATGGAAGGTAAAGCATGTCTGCATTGTTAGGAATAATCGTCATTTCATTTTACAGATGAGGAAACAGGGCCCGAGGGACGTCAGATGACTGCCACTGGGAAAGTGTCCCTAAATCATCAGCACCCCTCTGTGGGCAGCTCCACCGGCCACATCCCGGCTCATCTGTGCGTGCTCGGTTCCATGTCACGCTCCCGTGGTGCTTGTGAGGTGGGCCCTGCCACCTCCATTTTACAAAGACCCCGAGGCTCAGCATTTAGGCAAATGTATTTCCTGTTTCCTAACACCTCCCTTCAGCAGGCACGTTGGGCAAAGAAGGGAAAGGAACGGACAGCCATGGCCCCCGAGTGCCTCGAAGTGACTGGTGGCAACAAAAGCGCACCAACTGTAACCATCTCCAGCATTTACTGAGCACCTGATGTGTGCCAATCTCCGCACCTCCCATGGATCAATCTGTTTAGTCTCCACAACAATATTCGGGAACAGTATCACGATATTCCCCATTTTACAGACGGGGAAACTGAGGCATGGGCAGCTAAAGAACTTGTCCAAAGTTTTGTAAGAAATAAGTGACAAGGGGGTGCCTGGGTGGCTCAGTGGGTTGGGCCTCTGCCTTTGGTTTGGGTCATGTTCCCAGGATCCTGGGATCGAGCCCCACATCGGGCTCTCTGCTCAGCAGGGAGCCTGCTTCCCCCTCTCTCTCTGCCTGCCTCTCTGCCTACTTGTGATCTCTGTCAAATAAATAAATAAAATCTTTAAAAAAAAAGTGACAAGTCTTTCTGGCTCTAAGAATGATTTTTTTTTTTAAGATGTACTTACTTACTGGAAAAGGAGAGGGAGAGCATGAGCAGGGGGAGGGGCAGAGGGAGAGAGAGAGTCTCCAGCAGACTCTCCGAGGAGCACGGAGCTCACAGATCTCCTGACCCCAAGATCACGAGCTGAGGTCAAGAGTCAGACGCTTATCAAACTGCGCCACCCAGGCGCCTCTGGGCTTTTTTTCTCCTTTATTTTTAGAACCATCTCTAGATTAGCATTCCTCAAATTCACAGACTGTATCGTACTCATCTTTGTGAGCACAGAACTTAACGCATCTTACCAAAAAACTATGTAGTTAGTAAATTTCAATTATGGAAAAGCATTTAGGAAAGACTATTAGGAACCTTAATGGTAGTTGCCGCCGTGTGTTCTCCTTGTGTGAGCACCTCCAAGATTACAGGAAACACTTTCACATTCGTAACAGAATGAATGACAAGACTGACAGACCACACAGGAGGGTTTGGGTTTTTTTGTCCCTACAGGAGTTTTTAAAACAAGAAGCTCATTTCCATTAACTTGAGGATTGGTTTGAGCTCACGCGCTGGAGTTTTAGGATAGAGAAATCCAGCATGAAAGGCGGGAGAGGCCCCCGTGACAGATAAGTGATCTGGGTTAAGACACTGAACCTCTCCTAGAAGCTGTTTCTTCATTTCCGGCCCAGCCGCTTCCTCCGACACACCCGACACACCCGCGCTGAAGGGCGCAGAGTCCCGGAGAAAACCGAGCGCGCGCTGACCCTCAGCGCTGGGCACGGAGCGGGCTGTGCCGCCCTGAGCGGACAGATCCCCACTGCGCCTCTGGGGGCGGCCGGGAGAGGGGACCTTCACGTCCTCACCAAACGGAAAGAGACCTGCAGCGCCGCGGTGAGGGACGCTAAGCAGACGACTGCGTCACCATTCGGCAACATAGTATCAAACTCCTGAAACTCACATAACATGGTGTCACAGGTCGATTACACGCAATACAGATAAGAAATGGGGGGGCGGGGGAGCAGAGAATAGAAGACTTTTTTTTGGGCTCGTCAACCGTATTATGACCAGTTAAGGGCAGGGCTTGGGGGCAGGAGCCCAGAGCGGGAAGCGGGACGAAGAAATAAGGAGGTGGAGGGTGGTGGCAGGGAGGCGATCTGAGGTGAGGCGGGGAGAGGGGCTGACCGAGCAGGAAGGGGGCCGGGAGGGCGGGCTTCCGGCAGGGCCTCCCCTCCGGCTCGCGGCTTCACACCTGCGAACCACCCACCAGCAAGTCAATCACTGCCGGCCTCACCTCTCGCCTCCCGCGGACACCACAAGCAGCAGCGGGGGTGGGGGTGTGGGGGCCGCTCTGCGGGCCCAGGGGAACCTGCCGCGGCCGCGGACACGCACGCGCCCCAAGCGGCCCCCTTTCTGTGAAACGGCCAAGAGCCGTTTCCACTTAACTGTGTACGTCCTTCCTCAGCAGAATCAAGTGGCCACTGGCCACGGTCCCCAAACACGCCGGAGCCCCAGGGCCCGGACGCGGCCAGTGGGAGAGAGCAGCGCGCCCGCAACTGCAGCCGGGCCGGGTGTGCGTGTGCGCGTGCGCGTGCGTCCAGGCCAGGTGTGCGCGTGCGTCCAGGCCAGTGTGCGTGTGCGTGTGCGCGTGCGTCCAGGCCAGTGTGCGTGTGCGTGGCCAGGCCAGTGTGCGTGTGCGCGTGCGCAGCCCGGCCGGCCGGCCGGAGGGCGGCAGCGAGGCCCCGGCTGTTGAGGCGGGTCAGGAGCAGCGCTGAGCGCAGCGGACACGGTCTCTCGGGAACCGCGTGCCGGGGCTCTAGAAGGCACAGACTCTCCCTCGAAGGACAAGAAGGGGGCCAAGGGTCTGAGCTCATGGCACCCCAAGGACCCTCGGTGTCAGTTGTCTGCTGAGCGCGGGTAAGCAGCGAGACCAAGCCCGCTTACCCCCGCGGGCTTCCCAGGCCCCCACCCGAAACTCTCCCTTCAGAGGGGCTCCGGGCCGCAGGCTCGCTAGAGGGAGGAGAGGTCCAGGGAGGCCCTCCCACTGGCGAGAGGGGCCGGGGCCATCCAGCTGTGACCCGTCCTTCTGGCCGGACGTCAGGGGCACCGTCTCCCTGCGTCACTGCTGCACGTGCCCGCAGGGGTGATGGCCTTACTGGACGGAGTGGCCCCCCCTTGCCCCTCTCCACCGTCTACCCCACCTGCAAGGAGGCCTTCCACCATGGGCGTGCACCTGCCGGACCCTGCGGCTCTCACACCTGGGCTCCAGCCTGGCCCAAACCCCCCTTCCCACCTGTGCACAGACAGCCTATAATCCCTGTCTCCATGGAGACACTCCTCCACCGTCTGCCACCCAAAGACCTCCTTGGGAAGCGTTTCCTCCTCCTCTCGGCCCCGCAGCCTGCCAACATGAGGGTCAGGGACGCGCGGCCCGCACCATCCACAACCACCGGGAAGTCTCCCCACACTGCCCACTGCACGCCCCCTCCACAGTCTGAGTGGCTCGGGGTCGGTGTCCAGGACAGTGATCCTGGGACACCCACAGCCTCCCTCCTGTCACCCCAGGGACCAACCAGCACCGTGTGGCAACTGCAAACACCCCCGCAGCAGACACGTCACTATCCCTGGAGGGTGTCTTCTCTCTGCGCTCACAAAAACTTTCGCAAGGGGCCTCCGTCCCAGCCATCTTGGCAGTGGCCCTTGAGGTAGGGAACAAAAACTCACTGCAGTCCATTATCTCTAGGCTCTAGCGTTTCAGGAAAAGGGGATAGCATGTGCCCAGCCACAAGCAGACCCTGAAGATGACCAGACAGGCAGAGAGAGACGGGCCGTCCTCCTCAGCACCTGCCTGGACCGGGGTAACAGGGACCAGAGCCACACACACATCCACCCATGCCGGGGCCCCTCACACCAGGAGCGGGACACATGGGAGATGGCCGTCACCTATGCAGACGTGTCTGCTGTCACGAGAGGCATGCCAGAACAAGCTGGTGACAAGTAAATCACGCAAAGAATTTCTTCAATGAAACCAGCCAGAGCTTGTTTTGAAAACAGACCTGGAAGGGAACCAGACAGGTCTCAGCATCCCCACCTCACATGGGCAAGGCTAAGGCTCTGAGAGGCCCTACAGCCTGACTCCCGGGTCCAGCGTGTCTCCCATAACCTCCCTGTCCCCCAGAGGTCACCACTCCCACACCAAGGCTGGGAGGCAGGAGCGGCCTGCATGTCTGGGTCCTGGGCAGCTGGGAAGCCCACTGGTGTCCCCAAAAGCCAAGGAACTGCACCATCAGGAAAACTCGCTAAACCCCTCTCCAGACGGCTCCCCGCTCTCTCGCACCGGCCCCCCGACCTCCCCCCACTGCCCTCAGCAGGGGGGACAGCCAGCTTCTCTCTTGGGGGGCTCTGAGGATCCCCCAAAACCACATGTGCATAAGACGGGGGGTCCCGAAGGCTTCAGTCGCTGATGGGAGACGCCACCAGGTGTCCTGTCCAAGCCTCTGCAGTCACTGCAGCAAGGCACAGCAGCACAGCCACCCCAAGCTGGAAAGTCAAAGACTGGACCCAGTGCTGGCCAGGCGGCCCAGCTCTACCGCCGCCCACTGTGGCGACGATGTCCGTAATCTGAAGAGGGACAGCCACCAAGGACACCAGGTGCAGAGGAAGGGAGCAGACCAGTGCACAGGCTCTCCACGCGGCAGCCAGGGACAAGACACCTGAGCAGACACGGGTCCTTGGGAGCCGCCAAGAACTTCGGAAGAGCAGACCAGTGGACTTGTCTCGGGACTCGTCTACCCCAGAGGACAGGGTGGGGCTCATGTGAGAAAGAACTTTCTTCCTGAGCAGACATGTCTCCAAGGAAGACACACAAATGGGCCAGAAGCACACGGAAACGTGGTGAACATCACAGCTCCTGATGGAAACGCAGACCAGCCTCACACCCACTTCACACCCGGGGGTGCTCTTACCAGCAACCAAACACAAAGAACAGAAAATCCCGAGTGTGGAGGAGGCTGTGATTGGAACCCTGTGCATTGCTGGTAAGAATGTAAAATGGTGCAGCCACGGAGGAAAACAGTGCATTCGTTCCTCAAAAAATTAAGAACAGAACTACTGTCTGAGGCAGCAATTTTTCACTTCCGGGTATTTACTCGAAAGATCCGCAAGCAGGGACCCAGACAGATGCTGTCCAGCGGCGCTCACGGCAGAGTCCGCCACAGCGGCCAGAAGGCGGAGGCAGCGCATGGGGCCGTCCACAGGTGAGTGCGCAAGCCACACGTGGGCCACTGTGCCCCGAATAGGCCTCAGCCTCAGAGGAAGGAAGCTTGGACACTTGCTACAACACGATGAACCCCGAGGACATCACGCTACGTGAAACAAGACCTGTCACCGAAAGACAGCTCCCCCAGGTCAAGAGTGCGAGTACAAACCTCTCCTTAATGAAATGACACAATTAGATACTTCAACATGATTCATTACAATCTTATCAATAATTATTACTCTATTTTCTACATTTCAACTAAAAGTATCAAAATGTAATTTTCCAGAAAATCGTGAACCAAAATTAATTTCAGAGTCAATTAGCACTTGATTGGCACTTCCGTGAGGAGCGAACCTCAGAGACAGCAGGTGGCGGTCCCCTTCGCATCTAATGGGGACAGAGTTTTGGTTTTGCAGCAAGAAGAGCTCTGGGAGCAGACGGTGGGACGGCATGTTAACCGCGCAAATGTGCTTAACGCCATTGAACAGATACTCAGAAACGGCTACAGTGGTCAAAGTTGAGTTACATGTGTTTTACCACATTCCAACATTTTTAAAGACAAAGAAGAGCTTTCTAACACAAACAGAATTTCTTAAAGCTGTTTGTGACCGTCTGAGCAGAGGCCTGAGGCCGAGACATTCCCTCCGCACAACGCTGTCAGCCATTTACCCCCACGCCAAGCTTCCAAGGCCACAGTAAGGTTCGGCATTCGGACGATGAGCCTGTTCTGGCTCAAAACGTTCACGAATCACAGAAAGTCACGGACAGGTCAACACGAGCTGGCCTGAGGATGTTCCGATGCATTTACACGGTCTCCCTGTGGGAGACGGACCAGTTAGGCCTTCCCCGATTCCTGTCCGGGCCTTCGCAGGGAAGGAGCTTTTGAGAGAGGGTCCGCCAGAAACCTGCCTCCCGCTCTCCACGGGCAGCGGCAGGAAAAGGACCAGCTGTGAGCGGAGCCTGCAACCTCACGTGCGTCCAACTCAGGAGCTCCTTAACCCAGGCCTCCTCTGGCTCCCCCAGGACAGGAAAGGAGGGCGTCGCGCAGCGAAGCAGGAAGAGGAAGAGCCACCGTGCGCCAGCCTCCTCTCGGGGGCGGAATGCCAGCCTCTCTGTGCCAGTCTTCTCCCCAGGGCCGGGGCGGGAGAGCCGGCAGGGCAGGGACGGGCCCGGCCGTCACTTCCATTCTATGTTTCTGTTCTACCCACACGTGAGCAGTGCACGGGTACTGCATTTTCTGTTTTAATTAACTGGTACTTACGAACAACTCTTTTGGCTCAACCCTGTTGCCGGGCTATAAAGATGTGATGCTGAAGCTGCCACCATTCTAGGACGCGGACACCGGGAGCAACGGAATGGGCTCCTGGAGTGGGGGTGAGCCCTCCATCTCTGGAAGCATTCAACCAGACACCAGATGACCCTCCCCCCGGCACTATAATCCGAGAAACTCCCGCACTGGGTCTGGGTCTGCTCAATCCTAAACTTTCATAGGAAGGAATCCAAAGATGCCTTAAATTGTTTTCTCAGGAAAAACGCCTAACAGTTGTGTTGGCTGCTGCTCTGTAGGCACCAGGAGAAGAATGGGAAACAGAGGCCAAGCAGCTCCCTCTGGGAGGCAGGACTGGACACAGGAAGGGTTAGGACAAGAGGCACTGGTATTAGAAACCCTTCCCAGCTTCTTGGCCGTGAGAATGTACTAACTTGGTAAGAATTTCAGCAGTTAAGGGTGACTTGGCTCAGTTGGTTAAGTGTCTCCCTTCGGCTCAGGTCATGATCTCTGGGTCCTGGATCAAGCCCCACATTGGCTTCCTGCTCAGCGGGGAGCCTGCTTCCCCCCACCCCAGCCCCACCCGCCTGCCTCTCTGCCTACTTGTGATCTCTGTCTCTGTCAAATACATAAAATCTTTAAAAAAAATTTCAGCAGTTAAAAAAACACATTAATCACAGTTACTAAACAACACATTTTCAAAAAACACCTGGTAACAGGAGAGCACTCATGGTGTTCTCCACACACGTACTTGGAAAAGGAAAGCAGCACACTGAAATGTTCTCACTGGGTTTCTCGAGGTGGTAAAAATACTGATAATCATCATTTTTCATACATTTGTGGAATGTTTCACGTTTTCTATCAAGCACAGTAATTTCAGTAACTCCCTAAAGGCAGTTTTATCACCTTTAACACCTTTTTAAAAATGAGAGATTAGTAACCGTGGACACTAAGTACAGCTACATATTCTCGGTGGCTTCCCCATGAAGCTGGAGTGCTGCGTGCCCCACCCCCATCCCCCTCCCGCACCTCTGCAGCCAGGAAGGGGACCCGCGTGGGCAGAGCCGAAGGCCCCAGCTGCCAGCAGCACCACGAGCGGCGTGTGCACCCCACACGGGAGCTGGTGCCGGCCTCCCTCCCAAACCCGGGTGGCTGCAGGCTCGCCGTGACAGCACCAGTTGGGGGACAGTAACACAGCAGACACTTCCCCGCCACGCCCACCATGGTACCTGTCCAAGGGGTGCCGCTGGCTTCAGGGCTCCAAGCGCTCCAGGAGCCGTGCCCAAACTCCTCCCGAGCCCGGAGCTGCACCACGTGCCGCAGGCCCTTCCAGGCGTCATGGATGGTGCACTGGTGCCGGGGCTCCTGGACCTGCGGGCAGGGGGCCCAGCAGCAGTGGGTGAGGCCAGGGGGCACCAGCCAGACAGCCCTTTCCACCCCCAGCGGCATCCTCTGTCAGACGCAGGGAGGGACCGGCTGCAGAGGTGCTCAGAGCCTCCGCGCAGGACCCCGCCAGCCTGCGGCCCAGCTGCCTGTCCCGGGCACGCGCGTGCTCTCCGGCCGGTGAAGGCGCGGGACAGCATCCTCACTGCTGTGCACTGAACGAGACAACCCAGCCTCCCAAGGACCCGGGCCTCACCCACGCCGGCACAGCAGGGAGTCACATGACCACAGAGAACGGGTGTCTCATCCCAGGAACCCTGAGTACCCAGCCACTCTTCTCCGTAAGTAAAAGGATTTACCATCCACGTGGTAAAGGTCTTCGAGCGCTCAGCCCGGTACCGGAGCTCAAACTGCAGCCTGTAGAAATAGGAGTTCCAGGAGGGGGGGTCTCTCCAGGTGACACGGAGCCAGCGGGGATTTCCATCCACAGCCGTGACGGTGACGTTGGCCGGCGGGTCGGGCTGCACTGCGGGCGAGGAGGGCAGGCTCCCATGCAGCGGCAAGCATGGCCCCCGTCCCCCCAGAACGGGCCAGAGACACCCCAGTGCCCAGACCAGCACCCCCGTGTCACCTGCCAGGGCACAGGAAGCCCCCAGGGCACCAGCCCAGCACACCGCAGCGCCAGCCCCTGCGCCCCCCAGCCGTCTGTGAGGGGCATCAGAGGGGCAGGGGCGTCTGGCCAGGGCGCGCAAGAGCTTACTCACGGATTTCATAGCCCTCAAATGTGAGGACCCTGCTGGACTTGGTCCCAGCACTGCTGCTGACGCACAGGGACACCATGTACAAGGAGTTGTCCCCCTCCGGGACCTCCAGCTGGCAGGAGAACTTGCGGGGCCCCTGGGAGTAGGGGCACGGCTCCTGGAGGTCTCCCAGCGGGCGGCTCTGACTGTGAACACAGGACAAGGACGGGCTGGCTGCCGGCGTCCGCCCTTGTTCGGGGCCGCAAGGCTGAGATGCCCCAAGCTCAGCAGCACTTAGCAGGTCTCGTGATTTCTGTCGATTATCCAACCTCACCAAGCCTCTGTTTTCTCATTCGGAAATGGGAATATCGGTAACACCCACCCCACGGGGGCATGTTAGGATTTGCTGACCACAGAGGGAGACAACCAGGTTAGTGCCTGTGCAGGCAGGTCCCAGCGCCCAGCTAGAGCATACCCCGCCCCTAAGGCATTGGACGAGGGAGCCTCCGGCCTCTGTCCCCAGGGAGGGGCAGCAAGGAGCCCAGGGAGGCCCCCTCCCCAGCCCTGAGTCTCTAACAGAAACCACTTGGCCTCGGGGGACGAGGACAGCCCATGGAACAGCCAGGCACCTGCTCCCCGGCTTCCCAAGGAGGCCAATGAGCCCGGAAGAGAATTCTGGGCAGCTACAGACATTCAGGGTGAGTCAGACACTGTCCCACTGGGCCTGGAAGCCTGAAACGGCCATTTGGGACATGTGTGGGCGCAGGAGGGGCAGGCAGCCACTCACCCGGCCGCCGGGGCTACAGGTCCCTGCTGATTCAGGGGCCGACCCCTGCCCAGAACAAGCTTTCCCCTGCTTGTCCACTCCCAGGCAGAGTCAGAGCCTCCATCCCACCTAACGCTGAAGGTGGGTCACCAGGGGTACTGAGGGTGGGTACCTCTCCAGCCGTCCTGGTGAGGACGCAGCCCGGGGCCCGCGCTGGGAAGAACGGGTAAGCCAGCACCGTGGGGCGAGCGTACCCGGAGCAGGAGCAGCGCGCACCTTCCCCCCACAGACTGGCGGCTCTCCTCCCGCTTCCCTAGTCCAGGAGCTGCTGTGGGGACCCATGAGCCTGCCCGGTGTTTCCGGTGTTTCCGTGGCAGGTCTGGGCAGGGCGGGACATCCTGTCTGGGGACAAACACCTTCTAGGTCCCAAACGATGACACCCATGACCCGAGTCTGCGTTCCGGAGGTCCTGATTACCCCTATGGGCTGCCGTGCCACTCCTAGTCGGACTGTGGGCTCAGTCGCGCACAGACAACGGGCAGTAAGGTTGGCCCCTGATGACACTCGGCACACAGACACCAGCAGAAACCAAGCCCTGGAGTCACTGCCCGGATCTCTGACCCTGACGACCTCCAGCTTACACTCAATAACCAGCACCAGGACATGTGGCCAGCATCTCCCCCCCACAGCCTTCCCCCTCCTCCCCGACCTCCCCCCGCGCCCCCCCCACCATGGCTCTCAAGGCCTCTCCTAGGGAAGGGGCCTGATAAAAGGCTCACACCCCACACTTCTCAGGAGCTGCCAGCTCGGGTCAGAGCCAACCCCAAACCTGGCATTTTGAATAAACTCAGACAGACTTGGCTCTGACCGTAGCAGAGCCACTTACAAGCAAGATGACCTTAAAGCGAGTTCATGGATGGCTCGACATCAGCCTCTCCATCTGCTGAACAAGGGAAGTGACACTGCTCCCCCCACGGGGTCACGTGGTCATGAAGCAGCACCGCCCAGCCGGCAAGTTCTCTTTCTGTCCCCCAGCCCCTCCCTCATCCCCAAGTGGTGAAGTCTGGGAACCCCTGCCCAGACTCCCACTGAGAGCCGGCACCCCTCCAGGGGCCTCCGAAGGACGGGGAAGACGGACACACAGCCTGGCCCAGATACTCACAACTTCCTCACCAGTAACGTGGCCCTGGTGGTCGGGGAGGGTGGGTTCTGGGGAGCCCACTCACAGGCTACCTTGCTGAGCGGACTCTTCCGAAAGCAGGTGAGCTGGGGCTCCTCGGGGGGCACTGAAGGGAGAGCACAGGCAGAATGAGGGGGAACACGGCCCTGCAGCCCCTGAGCCAGCCCCAAGACCACACCGAGCCCCCCAACACACACACACTCGTACAATCTTTGCCACAACAGTAAGGTAATAAAATTAACCACACTAACCACCAGGGACACTGGGCACAGGGGTGACGCTGTGAAGGAGGAGGAGCCCCCAAACCCAGGCCTCAGGCTGTGAACCCCTGGCCTCGGCTCTAAGCACTCGGGCCAGGAGGAGGGTGGGGTCCCCGCCGGCCAGATGCCCCCCGCCAGCCCCGAGCAGCCTCATCCATCTCGGGGCTGGCAGGCGGCAGTGGATCTTTCCTGATTTTGTCAGGCCAAGGAAATCACAGGCGTTTAAAGCGACAGCTGGGACCCGTCCCCTAGCACTCTGAGCTCTCAACTCACCGTCCACCAGCAAATGCACAGTTCCGGCCAGGCGGCCGTCCTGGTAACAGGAATAGTTTCCAGAGTCGCTGAGCTGCACGGACCTCAGAAGCAGCCTTCTTCCCACAGCAGCCCAGCTGCCCTGCGGGGAGCCGGCCACAGGATGCCCCAGCTGCCAGTGAACGGTGGCGTCGTCTCCCGGCTCCCCGCCCGGGCAGGTGAGGGTCACGCTGGCCCCAGGCAGGCTGGTCATCGCACCGCTCGCCACCTCTGTGGAGGGAGGGGACGCTCAGTAAGCCCACAGCGGCCAAGAAGGGCTTTGCTCCTGGTCTGGGAAGTCATGGGGGCTTCAGAACCACACGCCTCTCCAGCCCAGCCGCTGGTCCCAGCCACGGCCCCCCAGGGGCCTCGGGAAGCCACCTGACTCCTCTGATCGGAAAACCCTCGGGGCGCCTGGAGGGCTCCATAGGTGAAGCGTCTTTGGCTCAGGTCATGGTCCCGGGGTCCTGGGATCGAGGCCCATGTCTCCGGCTCAGCAGAGAATCTCTCTCTCCCTCTGCCTCTCCCCGACCCCACGCTTGCGCTCTGTCTTCCAAGTGAGTAAAAAATTTAAAAATAAGTAATAAATAAAATCTTTTTTAAGTGTATAAGTGAAGAAAAAAAATAAATGCATTTTTAAGAAAAGAAAAAAGAAAACCCTCGGGGGCCTGCCACTGGCCACAGCATGAATTCTGAGCATGAGGCCTGGCGCACAGGGCCTTCCACCACCCATCCCCGCAACGCTCGCAGGCCTCACCTCTCCCCGCGCCCCTCGAGGGTACAGAGTCCCGCTGCTGCCCCCATGACCTTCTCTGTCAGGTCTCCATACCGCCCACCCCAGGCCTTCCCTCACCCCCAGCTGGATCAGGTCCCCACCGGCGCCGCCCTCCTCGCCCGGCCCCCACCCGCCGCCACAGGGTTACCACGTCTGCCCCCGTCTGCCCTCCAAGACTCTAATGCCACAGGAATCGACAGCCTATGCTCTGATCGGTTCCATGTCGGTGCCCAGCCCGCTGCCCGGCACACAACAGGGGCCGCTGGGCACCCGGCGGGCGAGCGGCCGAGCAAACCCACACACCCAGCTGCTCAGCAGGCGCAGGGCCGCACCCGGACCCTCAGGACAGCAGGGGACCCTTCCACACGCGGTCAGACGCGCGGGCGTCAGGAGGCTGCGCAGCGGCGGGGCGGCCCTCCGTCGGGGACCTGCTCCTGCCTATGCAACCCGCAGGACAAGGCTACTTTCATCCTTGGGAGCAGATCGGAAGGTAAAAAAGAACCAACGTGCTCCCTCCCCTGAAAAGTACCACGTAAGTGCGACTTGAAAGAAGAATACTGAAAACGAAAGACAGGTGAACTTTCCTCAGTACAAGTTAAACAGAGTCACAGAATTTGAGATAAAATTAGTCAACCAATTAACTAAATGCGTCCACCCAGCTAGGGGAATCGAAGCCAGGAAATACAGCCATTTTTCTTATTAAGCACACTTGGGGGTGCCTGGGTGCCTCAGTTGGCTGGGCGACTGCCTTCGGCCCAGGTCATGATCCTGGAGTCCCGGGATCGAGTCCCACACTGGGCTCCCAGCTCCATGGGGAGTCTGCTTCTCCCTCTGACCTTCTCCCCTCTTGTCCTCCCTCTCGTTCTCTCTCAAATTAATAAATAAAATCTTTAATTAAAAAAAATAATAAAAGCATACTTGGCCCTTCCAACCATCTGTTAGCAGCAGCAGCAGCAGCAATAAATCCCACCAAAGATTTAGGAAAAGCCCGGCAGGAACCGCCCTCGCCTTCCCCCAGCTCCCAGCCTGAAGGGCCAGCATTAACGGGTCTGACCCGCTAAGCCTTCCTCTGGGGAGGAGGAGCTCATGTCACACTTGGCAGGCTGTCCTTCCTGCTCCACCACACCCAAGGTGGCAGACAGAGGGACTAAGGGTCAGTGAGACCCCCAGTTGGCAAGCACCCCCAGAGTGACCGCTGGACAAGGCACGGCCTTCAAGAGTCATCCTCACTTCACCACTTGGAGCCTGACACGCCCCTCCCCAGCACCCTCTACCCGGAGGCTGGCCACTCGGGGATGGGGACAGGGGCAGGGTAGCCACCGGCCCTCACTGGGTTTCTTCGCCAGAGCTTTGGACTCTGGAAAAACAGTCGAATCTCACCGTGCAGGGAGGGCCATTCAGGCTGGTTCGTTATACCCCGCGGCCTTGATTTCTCCTCCCTCTCTGACCTACATCCCACAAATATTCCAGAAGGACCCCAAGGAGGAGGATACCGTCTGGCAGCAGAAAGACCCTGCCCTCGAGACAGGAGACGCCTTCCCCACTGCAGAACGGGGACTCGGGAACCAGGCTTCCCCAACAGCAGCACAACCCAGCCCCTGAAAGCCCGGGTCCCCTGAGGGTGCCTCCCTGCCCAGATGGCTCTAGAAGCCCGAGCCACAGCATACCCTTCACGTGGGACCCTCGGTAACGGTCAGATGCGGTTTCTGAAGCCACTGCAAAATACGGCCCCCACCACGGGAGCACACGTCCCACCACGGGAGCACACGTCCCACCACGAGAGCCCCAGCGCTCGCACAGCCACCACCCAGAAGGCACCCTGCCTTGGCAATGTTCCAGTTTGGGTGCAACCCGTCTTTACTTTAAAAATAGGTTCGCTGCACACAGATCCCTATTTTTTTCTGGGCCTTGATTGATTTGGAAGCTTTCTGTAAAAGGTGCGCACGCAGTCTGCTGAAGCGAGCTTTTGTCATTCATTACGGGTCTGGGACTCATCCAGGAGCAGCCGTAGCTCACCCCCTTGTGCCTGCGATACCTGCCACCGTGGTTCTCCCGCCCAGGGAGGGCTGGGGGCTTCCAGCGTCTGCCGCATCAGAGTGCGGCTATCGGCTCCCTCCCACCTACTCCTGGTCATTTGCACAGGACTCTCCGGAGTGGGGCCACTGGTCCCAGCATGTGTGTCACATGTGTCCTGTTGCGGACGCCAGTGGGCACCTCATGGGCGCGTCCGGTTCAGAGTCCACAATGACTTCCATCTGTGCCCGATGAAGCTATGTTTAGAAGACCCACCCAACGCTGCTTCTTTTGGAGATTTTTTTTTAAAGATCTTATTCACCTGACAGAGATCACAGGTAGACAGAGAGGCAGGCAGGGCTGGGGGTGGGATGGGGGGAGGGGGAAGCAGGCTCCCCGCTGAGCAGAGAGCCTGATGTGGGACTCGATCCCAGGACCCTGAGATCATGACCTGAGCTGAAGGCAGAGGCTTAACCCACTGAGCCACCCAGGCACCCCTGGAGATTTTTTTGTAAGTAACCTCTATATCCAAGGTGGGACTTGAACTCACAGACCTGAGATCAAGCCACATGCCCTATTGATGGAGCCACTAGGCCCACTGTCTTTTGTTCGTTATTTTTAAGATTTGATTTTTACCATCCAACACTTCTGATCACCATGTCCACATTTTGGCTTCTCCATTTTCTACCGGATGAGAGTTAACACAGATGTGACGCTCATGCACAAGGTACCACCGCTGCAGGAACCAAGACGCAGAAACCGCTGGAGGACCATGCAGGTCGGGGCTGACCTTCCCGATTCCCCTTCAGCTGACAAGCAGAAATCCGACTTCACCAGGCACCAGAACCCGACAGACACGACAGAGACACGGGTGGCTGCAGGAAGGTTGACGCACGGCAACTCCTTCAGCTGACACTTTCACGGGGCACGGCTCCCATCCCCAGCCGTGACTATGAGACATTCATCAAAGAACTCAGTAGGTGCTTAATACATGTCTAATGCAGGGTGCTGGAGAGGGACCCACAGGGACAGGGCCTCCCCACTGGAAACAGCCAAGAGAGCTCGTCAGAGATGACACAGTGGTCTGACCCTGCCCTAGATGGGGGAGCTCTTCAGACCAGGAGCTGCGGGGAGCCTGGAGCCAGAGGGAGCTCTGTCCTGCTTCTGCACTTGCCAGTTCCAGGAGACTTGCTTCTCCGCCCACCTCCCTCCCCCAGGTCAGCCCGGAAGCTGCCTCCGTGTGTGGTGACCAGCCGGTCCCTCCCTGCTTGCTCTAACAATGCCCACAGCACTGGGGCAGCTCGAGAAAGAGCAAATAAAAGGCTTTTTTTTTCTCGTCCACAAAAGCAGAGCTGGGGAGCAACCTGATGGCCACTCCTTCTGCCAAGTTGCTTGAGTAATGGTTTTCTGAGTCCTTAAAACTGAGTCACCATTTTTTTTTTAACAGGGAATGATTAATTATAAACCACCCATTGGCAACTATTGCCTGTCCCGGCCCTTCTTCCAAATGCGCTTCTTCTGGGGGCGCCAGGCCGGCTCAGTAGGTAGAGCAGGCAACTCTGCGGGTTCAAGCCCCACAGCAAGCACAGAGGGCCCCTCAAAAAAAAAATGTGCAAACTGTTTCTTCTAGAACCTGTGAAGAACACTTTGTCAACTACGCTTCTGAAAACACTCTGCAGGCTGGTCAAATACTCAGCCAGGAAAGACGGCAAGACAATAAGGGAGCTGAAGCCAGGGCGGGCAGGGCCGTCCCTCCCGCCGGCTTACCCTGCTCCACCGGGACCTCCACCTTCCTCTGAGCCAGGGCCAGTGACACCCGGGCCTCGGGCCTCGGCCCAGCTCTCTGCAGGAAGGAAGTGCTGGCCCCTCTCAGCCCTGCCCGCCTCTCCAGAGGGTGAGACGGGAAGTGACTTCTTTCTCTGCCTTCAACCTTCTTGCAGATTTTAGATCTGTAAGCCGTGTGGTTCTCAGAACCAGTACGTGTGCATTTAAAACAAAGGAGCAGCACAGCCTGGGCCTCTCCAAGTTACTCTGCCTCGGGAGGAGGAGGGACGTGGGGCAGAGCACAAGGGGACCTGGCTCCTCAGGACAAGTCCCTCTGGGTCACAGAGGGTTCGCCCATCCCTGGGCTCCAGGCTCTGTCCCTTGTTGCCTCTGCTGGGCTCCACAGCCCAGGCCCTCAGCTCTGCCGGCCGGACCCCCGTCTGCTCGAGGTCACGGCTCCTCCCCGTCTGCCCAGCCAGCTCCCCCCAGCAAGCAGGCCCCTCCCCAAGCAGGACTCCCTGAATGAGCGAGCGGAGTGGCCCTGTGCGGCCCCTGGGGCCCCGCCATCCCTCCAGATGCACCTCCCGGCCCTCACTCAGACGCTGGGCGCTGGGCGAGGGGGTGGCAGGGAGGGGGCAGCCCCCACGCTCCAGCACTGACCCGAGAGCACGCGGGGCCG